GACTGTGTACTGAATTGTAATGTAAAATTAGGGCTGAGATTAATCAATAACATCCTTCAAAAATAGACTGTTGATGAAAGACAATACACTCCACATTCCAAAGCTTCCTCTTCCTCTGAATTTAGATATGTTTTGCAGCTTAACAAAATATAAATATCCAGAATCACCTTTTCAAACCAAAATAGAGAGTGGTAGGGCTTTGATCTCATGCTTTGCAGATTACCAACCTAGAGACCTGACCTAAAATATGTAGAAACAGAAGAAGAGTAACAATTCCAGTGGCAATACACTTCTATGGACTCAAGATGGAGGCAGTTGACAAATTATTTCTTAAAATCGGCGGGGAAGATTCAGGTGATTACCAGAATCTATCATTTCATTATGAGGGTTAAGATCATGTAAACCCCAGGCAAGAAAACCCCTACTTTATTAAGAAGGGTGTTATCAGGAAGTGGTAGAGTCATAAATTGTTGAGACAAACAATTGCAAATTAGTCTAATGGGTATTTCCTAAATTAGTTTTGACGTTGAAGACAGATAACAAAAACTAATGTATTTTGAATTGTACTTGGGACATTCCACAAATCGTGGTTTATCATTCAGTTTTACTCTTGATAAAAACACGATAACCTCAACAATTTGTCAACAACCAGGAAACAGAATAACTTTTGGTTTCATGCAAGATATGTAGTATTCATTATAAGCCCCTATTTATCATCAAAAGGTCAGAGATTGTACATCCTCCTGCTCAGCCGGGTTCCTCCCATCCCGTGAGGGCTGCCAAAACATGTGTTAACATTCACTTTGTGCAATGACTGAAGTCTCAGCCTGAGGAATTGAAACCAAATAACTGCAGTGGCTTTAGCCCTGGTGCTCTTTCTTAGCAGACTATGCTCCTTAATCTTCTAAATATCCCTGCCTGTGGTGTAGCACCGTAAGCATCTCAGTGTGTGATGGATAATCAATGACAAAGATAAATAGGGCGATGCAGCTGGTCTGGGCTCAGATCAGCTCAGCTCATGAAATCCACAATGTATACAACCAATGCAACTTGAAAAATGTTCTTTATTCCCAGTTTGGGCACACATACAGAACAAAGTATAACAACATAATATTGAATTGTATTCTAATTATTATATGTTAAAATAATTGTGAACAGGATTTGTTTCTTCTCTGTATGTTGTATTTGTGTGTCTAACATAAGTGTTGGTAGAACAAATTGGTTTGCTTCTTCATTTTATAATTATATATTTTTTACTCTTTTATTATTCTTTAAATGAATTGTTTGTTTAGTAGAAATGATTCCACACAACCAATAAAATGCATGACACGATTGCTGTGGATCATTAAAGAAAAATGGCTGAATAGTGGGATACATTCACATAGCTTTATAGTAAGACTATTTAGATCAGGGGTGTCAAACTCAATTTAATCGCGGGCCACATCAGCATTATGGCTGCACTCAAAGGGCCGGTTGTAACTTTTAGACTATATAAAAATACATATATAAATATATATATAAAATAATGTATTACATTACATGATTGCCTCTTGGGTTATTATCAGATAGGGTAATAACTTCATAATTAATACGTGAAGGCAGAAGTCTGGGGCAAATAATTGCAAGTCAGTGAGAATGTCACAAAACGATTTAAAAAGAAAAGCCAAATTCTGAAAAAATAAGAAAGTCAAAATAATAATATGACATTTTGAAAAAAAAGAGTCAAATTGTGAGAAAAGGGCCCATTCTAAGAAAAAAAGCATATTTAGAAGAAAAAAAAGAGTCAAATTCTGAGAAAAAGTCTAATTTGAGATGCATTGTGGGACATGTAGTTTATGGGCAACGTGCTTCTGTAAATCATCATGTAACCGTGTAATAAACATATCATATTCTTTGCTAGCTCTTCAGGCCACAGAAAATGAAGTCACAGGCCGGATTTGGCCCCCGGGCCTTGAGTTTGACACCCCTGATTTAGATATTTTAGCTCAATCTCTGACAAATCATGTTTTATTATGTCTGTCATTTTGGCATGCTGATGGCTGATTCATGATGCAAATTATAAGATAATTTTCTCAACAGCATTACATTACATGTTACTTGTTAGACGCTTTTATCCAAAGGGACTTACATACTCAATACTGTGGACAATCCTCACAGGAGCAATTTGGGGTGAAGTGTCTTGCCCAGGGACACAACGACATGCTGACCCCCTGATCCGAACACCTACGGACAACCCACTACGCCACACGCCACCCCACAGCATAATATTTAGTGTCAGTATTTTTAAGCTGAGTTGATTTGAAAATCCAGCTTGGGAGTCATAGTAAGTCTCTCCCCTGTACATACATGATTTATGACTGATGAGTCCCATGCCAACCCAATTTGTGAAAGAGCCACAAAGTCACAAAACAATGTCATTGGACATTGAATGGTTAACACCACTATTGCCGTTTTTGGAACTGCAATAGCCAATAAAAAGTGTATGCGTCAGTAATTTGGTATGTCGAAATCACATGTGCAACTGTAGTACTGCAAGATGTGCCCATTAAACTGAGGCTACATTTGTTCTAGCTGCTCAAACAGGGGTTACTAGAAGTCAAACACATCGTTTAAGCAATCAGACAGACATATGTTTTCGTATCCATAACGCATCTACAGAAAGAGGTCAAGGTGAAAGTCATGGTTTGGCTAAGGTCTTTGTCACAAAAGGACATTAGAGCTGGGGTCCCTTTTCCCTCCCAGCTGTTTCCAGCGCTTGCCACCCTCCCCCTTAACACAATAGTATCTGCACAAGAGAAAAAGTGTTTGCCCGGTGATGACTTTACCAGCTTGGGCAGCCATGGGACTTGGGGAGGCCAGGCAGATAGGAAATGCAATTAGAATTCACAGTAAAGAAGGAAGATTAGCAGTAACAGACAAAAGAGGTCACAGTCCTGCAACCCCAGGTGAGGAAGGAGGTCGTAATCATAAGCACCCGTTCCCTTTCCTGCATCAGGAGGGGAGGGTGGTGGCTGGGCATGTTGCGACACAATGGCCCCTAGTCTAGGTGGTGATCTGTGCTGTCCTCATATTGAGGGTCAAGACCCCGAAATAAAAAAACAGTGTTAAGATTAATAATTTCTCATTTAGCCTCAAACTGATCATCGATGATCGTGATCCGAGTGTGGCCTCAATGACGTACTTAAAAAGTCAGAAGGTATGAGAAGACCCAGAAAGGCTATTAGATAGTGTCCAGTTTATATGCAGATAACAAAACAAAAAAATCTCGCTGCATCTTTTTTTATTAATCACACTAATAATTTGACTGTGGGGTTCTTCATCAGCTTTAAAACAAGTGAAGGGCCTCTCTTCTACACCGTCTGATCTGTGTTGTTTAATCTGTGTTACGCTTAAGCATGAGTCATTTCATATAGTTAACCCAGTACAAGCTTAAAATAATTCGGACCAAAGTTTAACTTCAAGAGATTTATACATTTTACATTTGAAGAACCATAACAATTATTAGCACTTATTAAAACAATCTTATTTACCACTGGATGTATTTGTGTGTGTTTGTTTTGTAATGTTTTATATATTTTGAATGTTGTCTTTGGTTTTGTTGTAGTAAACCACTTAGGCTTCTAAAATAAATGAGGGACTGGGTGCTGTCCGGAGCAGCTAAACAAAACAAGTAGTTAGAAAGCCCATCCCATCTCGTAAATCAAAACAACAATAAAATAGGTTCCAGGGGGTTGTAAGATCTCCAAAACAGCTGGGAAAAAAGGTGGGAAAGTTCATGTTGCTGTTCAAATTCTGTTTAAGTATATGACTTGTTTCAAAAGTTCAGAATTTTTAATCCATCATACAGGATATAGATGTGCTGAGTACAACAAATTGACAAAAATAATGTTATTGTATCATTGTCCTCTGTGTAACTTAAAACAATAGCATTCCCAATGGGAATGCAGGGAATAAAGAAATGCCAGGATTGACAGAAAAATGCATTGAGATGACAGGAAGCATGTTTGCACAGACCAGCATCATCATGATAATTTTCCAGTGAAGTCGCGTCCTGTGTCTCAGTGAGTGTAATAAAGCAACTCCCAAAAGCATCGAACCAGTTGACCTTTAATATCCTCGCTGCAACCCCTGCAGTAAACCGCACAACACAAATGTGGAAAAACACTTTATGTTAAACAAAGGATATCCTTTAGACGGAAAAGAGCTCTCCCTTTGCGCAAGTCTAAGTGCTGTATTTATTAATTGGCGCCAAACACAATACACTCATGGTTCTTGAATTTAAAGTACGCTCTGATCCTTTCGCAATCCAACAAACAGGATGTTTGTCTGGCTTCATGATGGTTTGTTTCCATGCTCCATGGTTATGTTGTACAGGTCCAAAGGTTTGTAAACTTCAATTTAACAAATGTTATGATCCATGTCAATAACATATTAGAACTCCATAACAGAAATGTAAGGAAAGGGCCATTTATATCTCATAAAAGTAAAACATTTTTGTTATTTATTGGTATCTGTCTCTTTTTCTCAGAAACTAAGGGAATATAAAAAATACAATTTGTCCTTTTCACTGTTTCAAGACTTGTTTTGGGAAAATGCCAGAGCACTCATCAGACACTATGACAAGCTTCATCCATGTATTATTTTATAAGAGATATATTAAGATTATATTTAGGCTATGGATATCCGTGTTCTCTACTGTTAAGTTGTGGCACATTGTTTTTAACAGCAACATGTATACAAAAGTGTTTCCAAAAGTTCCTCCCATCCTTCTCAGCTGGCCTGTTGACAGGCTGTCAGGTAAACATAAGCATGCTGCAGGGATTACATATTACTGTGCCAGTAAATCTTGCATGAAACATTCCAGGAGTGGTCGGGGAGTTCTTTGTACATAATTAGCAACACAATAGGTGACTAGGTGACGCACATATAGGGACAAGTGATTGTTTCCGGGTCTGCATTTGATAATATCTTGAATTGCTTGTTTATAAAGACAAGGCGGCCACATTTGATTTGCTTACCTTTAAACAAATACTTTATTTTATGTATTTACATTTTAGAAATATAACATGTGCTTTTTCTCTGTGAGGTACAGTATACACACACACACACTTCACATTTTACATACAAAAGTGCAAGAGTTATTCAAATACTTTTCAAAATACATATTGAAGTAAAAATTGTCACAAACACTGTATAATATATGGTACATTTATTGATATAAAATATGCACTCAATATGAGAAGCTTGCATTTAGCTGTGTATAATAGAATAATAGATGCATTGGGAGATATATCTCTTTTTTTTGTTTTCCCCATTAAGATGGACTAACCCATTATTCTGGAGAGAGCTTGTTTTTCCCTGGAAAAATGAAGAAAAAGGAAAGAAAGAAAAAGTTATAGCATGAATCTTAGGTGTGAAGCTGATGATTCCTTTTATTGTTTTTAGCCGTGATTTCCATCACATCCTACAGCTTAAGACATTTATTATACTCACTCTGGTTCAGAGGGGTTGATGATGCGCTGCAGATCCCTCAGGTGCTGAGCAACACTTACTGTTGGATAAACATAAAGTGTCATTAGCCATCAATTGAGCTGAACTCAAGCTTTACAATACTACACAAACAGTTTGCACTGAGATCTACAAAGGCTACAAACATCCAGCTATGCATTGTAAGTTTGATGAGGAATTATATATATATATATATATATGGAGATTGTTCAAATAGATAAATAGATACTTTGAATTATAATGGATGATTGCAAAATGATACTCATGATGTTTCACCAGTTCACCCAAAATATCCATCTATTTACAGATTAGCAGGGGCATGCATTGTGACAGAATGTCATTTTTTAAAACTGGATGAATTGTTCCTGAACTTAAAATTATCTTAGAATAATAATAATAAACTGCAAACATATATTCTTACTTGAGCCACCTCCCAGTCCACTCGTTCTTCCTGCACCAGAGGACGATCCAAGTCCAGTATTACTATTCCCAGTTGATGGTCCTTTCCCTGTTGCACTTCCTGTCTTACTTTGCCCAAACCAACTAAATCCAGAATTTTTGCTCGTGGATCCAGTCGACCCAGAGGACGAACTAGAAGAGCCGGTACCAGTTGATGGCGGCTTATTGAATATTGACCCAATGGAGCTACTTGACCCTGATGATGAACTTGAAGAGCCGGTACCAGTTGATGCCGGCTTATTGAATATTGACCCAATGGAGCTACTTGACCCTGATGATGAACTAGAAGAGCCGGTACCAGTTGATGCCGGCTTATTGAATATTGACCCAATGGAGCTACTTGACCCTGATGATGAACGTGAAGAGCCGGTACCAGTTGATGCCGGCTTATTGAATGCTGACCCAATGGAGCTACTTGACCCTGATGATGAACGTGAAGAGCCGGTACCAGTTGATGCCGGCTTATTGAATGCTGACCCAATGGAGCTACTTGACCCTGATGATGAACCTGAAGAGCCTGTCCCAGTCGATCCTTGCTTATTCAGCCCATTTGATGCAATCTTTGAAGCCGATACACCTGCCCCTGTCACATAGAATGAGTCACTGGGAAGTCCACTTAATCCTGTCTGAAATAAAATAAGAAAAATTGATGTTAATAAGGTGTTATTGAGGTTATGGCTTTTTAGGTTTTCAAGTATTTGTTTTAGAAGTATTGACAACATGCAATGAAAACAAACTATTGAATCATTGAATTGACTACATGATTATATTAAATTACATTTTCAGTTTAAGACTCAAACTTCTTGGTTTAAAGAACGTCATAGAGATTCATATTTCAGGTTCTTAAATTTGTTCTCAAACAAATAAATATCTGCCCCAGATCTCAGCCTTATGCTCTTTTCTACTTGAATGACAGACCATTTCCCTCCCACACTTCCTCCTCTTCATACAAAGCTGGTTCATTCGCAAAAACAAGTCAGGCTGCGTTTATCTAATGCATCTTATGCACGTTAAGCACTCAAACACCCAGCTTTGTTAGCAATTTAGTATAGTTCTAAAGGACTTGAATGAGGAAATATGTCTTCAGATACTGCAGAGATAGAGAGTTTTGGACAAAATGACCTAATAGCTGCAGAAACGTATGCCGGTCATTACATATAATAAGGGTTTTATAGTTAAAGTCAACAACTCTGCAATGCGATTATAACCTGTATAGTGTATCTGCAATTCATTTATGAATATCCAATGGAATTCAAAGTGTATTTAATCCGCTGCTGATTACAGCGGGCAGTTAACTTCCTGATTGTCCCACATTTTCACAGGGGGGTTTTTACTATTGTTTCTTGTGATGTGGAAAACATTTAATTATTTAAATATTGATTAATATGACAGCTACTTGTGCTGAAGGAAGAATGCAAAAGCAAGGCCAGCTTGTGACCCCGAGAGGTCATGCTACTTTTAACACTCCTGAAAAACTCATAACAGTTTATGTAATCAGTGATGGCACTTTATTTCTCTTACCTTAGACACGCATGACACATTGAGGTGCCTATTTTGCTCTGTCAGGTGATCAATCACTTTACTCGTATACTTCACATGGTTGTTCAAGACTTCTATATCTCCATGAAGCTTCAATTTTTCCATCAGGAGTTTCTCCTTCTCCTCATCGTGTTTCTGCTGCAGCTTGTCTAAGTTCTGCTTGTGCTCGCGGATCAGACCTGTGCGGTTTGTGCTGCACCTGCGGTAGTCGTCAGACAGTAGCGTGTTCTCTGCTTTCAAGCGGCTACTCTCAGCCTGGATGTTTGACACCTTTTCTCCCACATTATTCAGGTAACGCTGGAACCTGTCCTCCACTTCCATGGACAGGCTGGTGCAATTGCTGCGGATCTGCTCCAGGTGTTCCCTCTGGTTCGGACAGGTGAGCTGGAAGGCGATGTGTGAAGGGAAAAGGGAGTCAATCTTCTCCAGGAAAGACTTGGAGACATTGGAGATACCGCTCAAGGACTGGGAAAAGTCATCTTTGCATTTTTGTCTAAAGAAATTAACTTCCTTTTCATGAGAGGATTTTTCCCTCCGCAGATGGATGGCCTCCAAGTTAATGTTGTCCCTCTCTTTGACAGTCTGGTCCATTTCCCTTCTCATTCTCTGGATTGTTTGTGTGAAGTTGGACTCCACAAGTTGCATCCTGGCATGTAGCTGTTCACTCGGACCACAGTTACAGTTACCTAGAAGATTCACTGCTCAGAAACAAAACAATAAGAGCAAAAGGGAAAATATATAGACACAGTTAATAGTTATTAGGTTGTTTTTTGGTTCGCACTAAAGACATGTCATACTTACTAGTTGTTGGGATCCTGCTCTTGCAAACAAACAACTCGGCAAGGCAATGTTGCTGTATATAGGAATGTTGAAAAGACAGTATTTTAGGGATTTGCTTTGACAGTTGTGAAATGGAAAGAAACAGGGAAAACTATTGCTCATTTACAATAATCAAAATTACAACTTTAACAATGTCATAGGCATGCTCAGACATTTAAAAGTGTAATGCTTATTTTTCAACTTATCATTTTAATAAATATATACATTTTACAATCCTATTTGTTGAAAGAAATAATTGTATCTAATCAGCTCAACTTGACTCAAGCATTGCATTAAACCCACAAACATATATAACCACCTTAATTTCTATGGCTAGGAGTTTAATTCCATATGAGATAGTGGTCTTTAAATAGTCACTTAAATACAAAAAGTAATACTACAGGAATGTACATGTTGGATAAAGAAAAAATTCTTAATAGATTACTCACCTGCTTCTTCTCCATTTCTTGGATAAGAATCGATGAGATGTTGGCCAAGTTGCGGTTTTCAGCCAGGTCCCAGTCATTGCGACCCTTCTCATTCAGGGTGGTGTTGAGCAAACTGGTCAAGTTCTTCCTCTGCCTCTTCAGGACGACGTTCTCTATGGAGAGTCGGCTAAAGCTCTCCTCCAGGTCTTGGATGCGAGACGTGGATGGCGAGTCCTGCGTCTTACCATAGACCAGAAAGAGCACGAGGCTGACTATGATAAGAGACTGAATGAGCGAAGAGAAGAAGAAGACAATGCGCATGTAGTAGCCGCAGCTCTTGCCCTTGCCCTTTGAACGGTACTGCAACTTCTTCTGGCTCGCCGGGCTGCCCCTGGAGACCTGGGAGTAGCCACTGCTATACATGATGGCCAAAGAATGGTCTCAAAAAAGTGGTAAAGCTTGAGGATTACTATGAGTGTCCAGCCAAGTTCAAACAAGGGTCATCTCTAAATCAAAAGGATAGACTAGTTCCTCCTAAGCACTCAGAGCAAGCCAAATTAATTAATAATAAAAAGCTGAATTATTTCAGACCAGCTTGTGGATTTTACAGTCTCTTAAGTTCTGCGCCCCTTCCTCTAACAAAGCCAAACACACTACAGACGTTTCCTTTCAGCAGTGTTGATCGCATGAGAATTTATCAGAATGTGAGTGAGGTGTAAACATGGGTCTGAATTTATAAACTTCTCTGGCCACACACTTCTCATGATGGGAACCTGGCCTCTGGCCCCTCCCTCCCTCCATCTCCCTGCCCCTCCCTGTGCAGAGATTATCAGCACACAAAGACTGCCAAGCATATGTTTTTTTGTTGACTACATTTCATAGTTGAAAATGTTCCCAGATAAAAACTGAATAAAAACCTATTTCATGACCATGTTGAGCAAATTAGAATATGCCTTTCAAAAGGGAGAAGGAGAAATGTACATCTTCAAGTAGTTGTAATAAATTCATATTGAGATATTAACATGAATTTCTATAGCGAAACTTGACAGGCCATAAAGTCTTCACCGGACTCGCTGCGCTAATCTTTTTTATGGGATCATGAACATTGTTTTCCGTTGCAAAGCAGGCCGGCAGGACAATGGCTTATGTTGTTCTTATAACGTTCTAGGGCAGGGGCTCTTTGATGCCCCGAGTCTCAGTCCAACATGATGACGTGGGTAAGCTGCCCTCTGTCTCACAGGACAGACACACACACACACACACACACACACACACACACACACACACACACACACACACACACACACACACACACACACACACACGCACGCACGCACGCACGCACGCACGCACGCACGCACACAAAGAGACACAAACCAATTGAAAATGAACTATAAGAGCCTGACACTAACAGTCACAACTTTTTCCTGCCCCGCATTGTTGACGTGCCAGCCACCTATTTGACAGGAAGCAGTAATTCATTGGAAAGAGGAACTGCGGATGGTCAAAGCTCCATCAACTTTTTGGAGAGATCCTAGATAAAAGGCTCCAAGAAACGCAGGATATCAGACACAAATACAAGAAATAAACACAACTTTTGTTTATTTAATTGATGATGAAGTGGGTTGTTTTTATCGTCATTTGTGAACACTAGCTATGGAATTCTTTTTTTGGTATTTACATTTTGTAAGTAGTAATGGGATGTTGCCAAACTGAATGGCTCAGCTCTCCACACTTAATTTAGTAAGAGAGGCTTATTGCATAATTCATGCACCTCACCAGGGGTTACATTGGGCCGGGGCTGTCCGGGGCTCAGCCCCGGCACACAGGACGATGCTCTGACGTCATCACCCTTACTCATTTGTCATTTGTTTAAGCCATATGTTAAAACATCTCTCGTTCTTAATATAGACTTTATTTAGGGTCGATATCTGTTGAATTTACTTTAAAATAGCAGATCTCTGTGACAAGATATATTTGTTCCGCTTAGTGAACGTGTGTCTCTGCTCCGATCAGGAGCTGCAGCACCGCGGCTCCTTCGTGCAGAATCTGCAGCGGTGTGTGTGTGTGTGTGTATGTGTGCAGAGAGTCTGCCCCCCCCCCCCTGCCAGAAAATCGTTCAGTAGACAAGATAAAAGTATCCAAGGAATACACAATAGAATATATAAAAAGTAAATGAAAAATCTCTACAAAAGACCAATACACTACAAAAACAGAAACGTATTGACGTGTTGGTAGTATACATCAAAAAGGCTTCAAATGTATTCAGTATTGTATGAACATGTTTTAATTGGGGTGTGGACGTCACATCCTCTAGGGGTCCGGGGGCATGCCCCCCCCCCTGGGGGAGCGGCGCCCTCAGCTTCGGAGAGGGAGCGCCAACAGATCGCAGAGGGGCGCCGGCCTCAGGATGATTATGAGGCCAAATATCATATTTAGAATAGACTTTTTCTTTTTTTTTTATATTAATTGTAACGCAATTACATTATTGTCACTAAAAGCCCTATAGATCTCTCAGCTTAATAAACTATAAACAAAATAATTGATTAATTATTTGAATAACAATTGCAGTTAGTAGCTATTAAAGCATAAAAAGACAGTAATGTATAATTCTTTCTTTAATAGCAAATGTTTTCTTCATGCCGTAAAGATTCCAAACCAGGCTTAGTCTGGATAAGCGCATTTTAAACATAAGTCAATCGTCCATCGCGGTTTCAGTTGGATTATTTGTCCAGTTGCTCCCGGTCAGATCGGTCCTTCCTCCATTTTGGTAGATTATTTTACTCAACATTTTGAATACATAAACACATTGGCAAAATCCGGCTTACTTTGAGCATGTGTTTTTAAACAGTCTAAATCACGCTTTGTGAATTGTTTCACTTGCGTGTCCTTTAATTTCTTTCACTAACAGACGGGAATCCAAATGAATGAATTCTGAGTCAATAACATCCAAAGTCATTCCAATAGTGCTCCTTAATTAACGCTTTCCATCCTCCTTTTAACAAATACCTTCNGTTTAAAGTCTATTTTTGGTCTCTTTTTGCCTCCTTTCAATACTTGTCTTTTCTGTGTCTCTGTGTGGTCTTTTTGTGTCTCTTTGTAGTTGTTTAATGTGTTTGTCTCTTTCTTGTCATCTTCTGGTCTATTTTTGGTCATTTCTCTCATCTCTCTTGTTGACCCCGGACCCTTTGGGCCCCTTCACCACAAAACTCCCTTTCAGTAATCCATCCATGCTCTTGAATGTGAATCATTTTGTGGGTCTTAAAAATGCAAAATAAGCTGACAGCAATCCTCTCCTTCCCAAGCGTTTCTCGCCGGCTCTTGGGAAATATTCCTTGCATTGAGGACTCAGGAGGTCGCGCTCGTGTTTACACACTCCCCTCGTGATGATGGTGTCAGATAATAAAAATCTGGTCTGAGATTTAAAGAGAAGAAAAACAACAAAAAGTTTGGCATTGTGGGAACAAGAGGTGTAAGGTGAGCTCAGTGACCCTTTGGCTTTCTCACTTTCCCTTCTCGCAGCGCACCTCCAGACAAAAGCGTCATTATTTCTCTTGGATTCCACACTGCCGAATTCTTGGTAGCGAAGCAGGATAAATTAGCCTTTTTATGGCCCGTTGTTGGAGAGAGCTGAATGGATCCAAGGGTGTTTCCGTCATTCAGGCTCTTAGCAGGCACCACAATGTTTTTAATTTCTTCTCCCTCATTAGCCATGATGAGCTTGTGGCTACATTTCCTGGAAAAGCCTGAGAGTGAAACACACAGAGAGAGAAAAGTCTTTGTATTTTTGACGGTGTCAGACCTTATTCTGTGATTATACTGGATCTCCCTGCAGGTGATAGGTCAGAGCTGCGAGTGTGAAAGATGTTCGGAGGCTTGTGTTAATCTGTCTGTTGGCTGGAGGCCCAGGAAGAGAGGAGAGCAGGACTCTTCTCACACCAGAGGACGTGCTCCTTTCTCAGTCTGAGTGTGTGTGTGTGTGTGTGTGTGTGTGTGTGTGTGTGTGTGTGTCTTTGTGAGAGAGTGTGTGTGTGTGTGTGTGTGTGTGTGTGTGTGTGTGTGTGTGTGTGTGTGTGTGTGTGTGTGTGTGTGTGTGTGTGTGTGTGAGTGAAAAACTACCGTGACCCAGAGTTTAGAATCACTCCTGGAGTTTCTCAGGATATAGGAAATACATCACAAGGTATACAGACCTTTCCTGATGTTGGTGACAATTATTCAAACAGTCTTTACATTAATTCTGCGTAAATGCAAGCTTATAGTTAAATCTGGTTTAAGATTTGGATTGCTTGTTACATACACTTTTAAAGAAGCACTCGTCCAATAACTTAGACACTAGATGGGGCTATTTTTTCAGCGCGATTGGCAGGAAGTAGGGTAAAACAAACATTGTGAAATGGGAGAAAGAAATCAGAAGTGTGCCTTTAAATCTTATTTAAATGTGGACTCCCTGCATAATGTGCTGTTAATTTATGGTAATATATCCCAATATGAATTTAATAATGTTGAAAATGGCAATAGTTTTACAAATATAACTTAAGTATTGATGATAATATGATATTGTGACAACTCAAATGATGTATATATTTATATATTAACCTGTTAAAGGTGGTTAGTAGCCCTCAAACACTGCAAGCCTTCGCAGGGTCACAATTAAAGATGTGCATTAAACATTAGGCTACTGTTGTCACAAATGGCAAAGGTAAGACACATGTTAGCACAGTAGCAATAATATGTGTGTTAAAATGTACAATAATTACTCAATGAAAACACTTATCTGCCAAAATCTTGTATTATTGATTTGTTTGATGCCTTTACAATTGTATTATATACACATTTTATTACAAAAAAACATGCATTTTCAACTCTAACCTAAGTATTTTGTTCTAAACATCCACAGTGTGGTTTGATTGAACCAACCGTTCTCTCACCAATCCTCCAGGTTTGTTCCCAGAGAGCACAGTTCATTTAAGGCGTGTGGAGAAATAAGCTGACCGGATGTGTTTCCAGACAATTTGGTGTAAATACCCATAAAATACCCATAACTCTCAGCCAGCCAGACAACAAAGCACTGGAGGATAATAAGAGTTATTACATCAGACCTCAGCAGACCTTTTACATCATCATCATCATCCATCCACTGCAAAACGCTGATTACCAAGCGTGGGAAATAAAACCCCTCCTCGTTAACTTTCGTGACTCATTCGAGGGACATTTTTGTTTGTTTTTATTTTAAAAGTTTCAATCATTTTGGCTGTGTTCATGCATGGGAAATGTTATGATTTAAGTCTCAGCTTCTATGATAAAGTGTGTAGCAGACAGACAGTCATAAATGTCCCCATTAAAACCCATTAAAACCTCAACTATTGATCCCACAGCCATAACAGTACAAATTGATTTAGTATTGAACAAACACAGTATATGATATTTTCCCTTCTCCTGCATGCAAATTTATGATTTTGTCATAAGTGGTTAATTAATCATTGACATATCACACAAACATAAGCATTCAATATTCAGAAACATAGAAAAAGAATGGTGGTATCATGTAGAAAACTTGCTTTAAAAAGGTTGAAAGATTATGTAGAATAGAATATGGAGGGATGAAACCCCCTTTAATGGTCTCACATGCAGAGCACACAGCACACACGGGGACATGTGTTCTCTGCATTTAACCCATCCCAGTACCAGGAGTCTAGTAGCCTACTAG